AACGAAAAAGATACACAAAACTATGACTCGACTATTGTCTATGGTGTATACTTTTTCCCAAAAGCCTTATTCTACACGACGACCGACCTCTGCTCCGCCATGTGCGCCCTAAAACCGGTAGACGGGACTTGTTACTCAAACAAGTCTTTTGCCAGGTTCATCCGTTCACGTCGACACACATCACTTCTGTCATTTTCAGTTGCTACTATTTGTACTTTCCCATTGGTGACGACTTAGAGTATACAAATTTGTATATTCTAATTATAAATTATTTTCTTATCCTGTGACTGAAGCTTAGTTTCATGATGGCCCGAAAGCAACTTGATACACTATCTGCACCGTATCCGTGCTGCACCACAGTTTCGTTTGACTCCTTGCTGTGTAGATCGTTTATGACCGCACTGTCCGGATTTATCGGATAACCTTCTGTACTGTTGTTTCTGGTTGTTCACCAGGCTGTAAGTCATTTGCATTTATGTATTTCCATGTTTTGCATTATTTAGGACCACGCATTTACGGTGAACACGGTTATACGTTTGGAATTTGTTCTGCTGTCCGTAGCCGTGTACAGCACTTATCATGCGTGAAGCTGGTGGGACTAAGATTTTCGCTATACAGACAGTCCAAGTAATCGGGATAGTTTCTACAGCTACTCCCAAAGTTGACCACAAGGTTAACCATCTTCATCATGCTTTAAGATGCGTTCTTGGTTGGACGCAGCTGACAGCCAAATTGGGTAGATTGCAGACCACTGCGGGACTAAGATTTCACGAATACTCTGATAAATTACTTGATCTTCATGCTTCACATGTTATGTACTAGCTGACTTATACACAGAGATAGCGAGGCGATAACTGACTCAACCGGGGCTGAACACATATCGAATGAGGTTTCATACTTGTCAACCTTCTATTTTTGTCCAGAAACGTGAAATATTCAGAAGGGCTTTCGATTCATCACTGTTTTGGATGTCTCACGCAGAATTACGTCAATAATTTGTATTTTTCTGCAGAACAGCGTATTTTCCATGGTAAGTACACACATTATTCCTCCTTTCTTCATCCCTCAAAATGGTTTTGCATTTTGAAACTCCTTTTTTTCTGTTTTTTTCGTTTGAAGGTCACTAGTTTGTCTGCGAGCAAACTAATTCAAACCCGCCTCACACGAGCTCTGAAAATTATCCAGACAATCAAATTTTATTCCTTGACCTCAATCAGCTATCACTTCTGCTATATTATTGATGACTGTAGGGAGTACTTATACGGTGATCAAAATGTAATGTTGGAAGAATGTTCCTTTCACGGGTCCTTATACCGTTTATGAATTCCTAATTGATGGAACCCACCGTGATTTACTGCCGTTAGGGAATCAGACTCCAAAGATGTGCTTTTCTTTATTTGCCGTTTCAAGCTCACATACTTTTCACCAAAGGCATTCCAGATAAGCAACTACCAAATCTCAGATTCCGAAGTAAACAACTGCAAAGGGGTGGAATAATAATGCACAGTTTCAGCTTTATCAATCAGTTGTTTGCCATTTGATGATAAGATACGATGTCAGCAGCCAAGCCATTTTAGTTTGACCACAAATCAAAAACAAACGAGCGTTCTCGTGACAAGCTGCCACAGATACCGCAAAGTTGTCCTCAAAAACCGTGGTGCGATTACCCGACATCATTTGTTGGCATTGAAAGAACTAAGAAAAAGAAAAGATATATTGTTACTCAAGCCAGATAAAGGATCCGGTGATGTCCATATAGGCAAGCAAAATTTCCTCAAAAATATTTTTGAGGTTGATTCCAGACCCAACGAAATTCTCCACATGCCACATAAGTAAAGATGAAGCTGAGAAAATGGATAACAGACTGGCTGTATGTTTGATGAAATTAAAAGATCGTGGCTACATATACAACTGTATTTATAAAAGACTGGAACCAAGCGGGCTGACATTCCACGTCTTTACGGCCTGCCCAAAATCCGTAAAGAAGGACTCCCCATTCGACCAACTGTGGCCATGACCAACCCAACATATCAGGTAACAGCTCAGTGGCTAGTAGAATTATTGGAAACTGTTCGCGCAGAACTTGCCAAATACAGCTTGCGAGATAGTTTTGAATTCGTATCCACCATACTAGAATTCAGTATTCAGAAGAAAACTATGTTCTCGTTAAACATCACATCACTGTTTTCGAACTTTCCGCTTTTGGAAATCGTGGACCTCCTTTGTGGATACATAAATACGTCCAACATACAAATAGGCATTTCGACAGAATATTTGAATGAACTATTGCTACTTTGCACGTTAAACATCCAATTCCTGTTTAATATATGTTTCTACCGAGAAAGAGACTGCATCGCCATGGGTTCTCCACTAGGCCGATTGCTAGCGGGAATTTTCATGGCCAAACTTGAAAATGGAAAACTATAGCAAACCATTGAAGGTTTTACTCTGTACATTCTGTACTTGGATGATATATTTTGTTTATTAGACCAAGAGTTCAATGTGCCCAAAGTTCTAGAAAAATTTAACAAAGCCCAAGACGCGTTGGCCTTTATGATGGAACTGAAAACCAATAAAAAATTGGCTTTCCTCGACGCCCTACTAACCAGAAGGGAAAATGGTTTAATACAAAGCAAGGTCTATAGGAAAAAGACATGGAAAGGCCAATACGCGATTTTTCACAGCTTCCTGCCCTTGTTTCAAAAACAAAATTTGATTCGATGTATAGTGTTCAGGGCCCGGAAAAATATTTGCTCAACGGAGACCTAGCAAGATGAACTTGGCTTTTAAATCTTTCGAGATCTAATGCCCGACAGAGGTGATAGATTATTAGTTTGACTCATCAGGTTGTCGAAATGTGCCTCCCATTCAAGCCGGTGGTCTTGGTTCATGAGACTGCGGAACCTCCATCCAAGTGAAAGGCCTTCTACCCAGATTGGGCTGTGTCATACTCGAAACTTTATGTATACATTTTTCCGGCTTTGTCAGGAACCTTATTTGTGGTTTTGTTGGGTTAATGCTTTTGACCAAAGGTTCGTAAACAATCTGCACGCGGCGCGCACTGATATGACTTACGAATTCTGTAAACCGACACTTCTGTTCATCGGAGAGATTTTCCACGGGGTGTTGTCGTTGTGTGATATTCCTCTAAAATTCCGCTGTTTTGGATAACAAAATCATTAATATTTAGAGCATATCGCCGAAGGGTTTTGTAGTTTAGGTATATCCGGTCAAGACGAAGCTGCTTCCAAAATTGTTTAGGATATTTGTTGTTATTCACACACCTTACCGAAGAAGGAACTGTTTCTTAAAGTACCATTCGACGGGATACACATGCCAAGCGGTTGACAAAAACACTTAGGGCAGCTGTAAACTCAACGTTCCCAGCCGCTAGACTGAAATGCACTTTCTCCATCTCCCGTGATCAGCATGCAGGCAAAATACAAACTTCCTGAGCTGATCAACTTTATGATCATTTACTCGTCTAGGTGCAAATGTGGCGTATCCTACATAGGTCGCATGGCTAGGCGTTTGTCTCAGCGCATTAGGAAACATCACTCAAGAGGGTTGAGTCAGGGGAAAATCGGTGTGATTACTAGTTCGATTCTAGTTCATTTGGTGGACAGTGGCCACAAGATGGACCCTGAAAAAGCTTTCAGTCATAAACCGAGTTCCACCCAATCGATCAAAGCCAGTCTGACTTCGATCCCTGGCCACGGCATAGGCAATCGACATTCGCCTACTAAGTCCTGACCTATGTGCACATAAGCGACTAGTCCAGGCTGTCCAGCTGCCCTGGTCAAAACCAGAAACCACGGGTCGCCCACCGAACCCCAAAAGTCCACTATCGGTTACCACTCTTGACGGTGGGAGTAAAACTGTCACCACAACCCGCGTACGATAAAGACACGCCTCCCCACCAACTCCCTTTTCCTAACCCCACGACAATGAACTTTACCAATCGCTAACGCTTTCCAAATTTACCTAACCCATATGAATTATAAGAGCACGTGTAGGATTCATTGAAAACAATTGTTCGCTCTCCAGCGTTTTGTTCTTAAGGTGACCATGACTGTGGCACTATTCAGACTATTCAAATAAATGGTGCTTCGGTGGTTTACCACGGTGAGTTCGGTGTGGGCACTGCATGCTGAATCGTATCATAAAAACGTTAATTGTGAACGGATTACTACTTAAGCGGATGCCAGTATAGATGTGTGCACGTAAATGGTGTAGTGCTCACCAGCGAGAAGAAAAACTAAATGTCAATGCCAATACAACCGGTTCTGGATCCGAATTTCATGCCTCAAATCTTTGCGCGTGTACAGATCGGATGAACCGTGAGTGAATATCAAATATGCGATTCATACGATGGATTTGTTCCGAAAGTTTGGTTAGTCAAACCAAGATAAGGTGTGCAGATGAATAGGTTCTCTGTATAACAATTCACTCGACGTGTTTCGATTTAGTGAATGATAAGTTCCGGCAAAACGGAGTGTCATGGGTAAACATCTGTCAGTAGGCCGAATAACACTATTTGCTAGGTTGGCAAACTATTTTGAATAAGTGACTTGAATATAGTTCTTCCTTTGTTCCACTTGTTAGGGAGTAGTTCAAAATGAGATGTTACGTGACTGAGGCGTGCAGAGCTCCCAACTGAGGGTATAGTTCCCTTTGGAAAACGTCTTGCTTTTGTTTGGCTACCCTAGACACATATGGCATGTCTCACTGTTGTTTTCAAGACTGAGATCCATAAAAAACTTCCCTAATGTTATTTATTCAGTCTTTTACTAAGTGGGTGGGCAAAATTTACGACAGTAAAACATTGTTTAGAAAATGATAATGATACAGATCTGTGCTGAGATGGAAGATTTGGCAGAAAGCAATGGAGAAAAAATAGAAAGACTCGGGTTGCGGGCAACATTATGATTATTAGTTATGAAAAAAAAACACGAAGAATTGTTAAGTGTTTGCAAGATATTTGCAGCAAAGTAAAATATTCAGTTCAGCATCAACCCAACGATCGATAACGGGAGAGCGCAGAGAGTCACAAGAAAAGAGCATTGAGAGGAGCCTCCTGAAAAGAAGGGTGAAAAAAACAGAAATGAACGCGGAAAAAACCAAAATGGACGAACGAAAGAATCAACGACAGAATTCAGGCAAAATCCCAGAAAAACAAGGGAGCGCAAAGAAAACCGAGGAAGAAAACAGAAGAGTGAAGGAAACAGTACAAAAAGTACGTCAAGTTAATCATGCTAAAAACAAATGAACAAGACCAAACTGCAACATGATCAATAACACAGCTCACCGTCTTCCGTTTTCTGTGGATCTACAATCAAGAAAGATGGGAAACGAACAATGTACACTGATTGATGTATCCAATCGAATGAGAACAAGCATATAATAATAAGCGTCGTATTTGAGTAGAGTAACGTTATATGATAAGAAGAGGGCGAATCAGTTCTCTCTTGTCGACTGGCACAGTTGAAGTGTGAAATCATTTGTGCACAAATGCGAACAGTTCGGTGAATTGGACAATTCAATATGCTTTGTTTGGTTGTCTGTTCGTTTGTTGCATTGCGAAACAGGTGTGACTATTCCGCTTTGCTATTTTGTGTAGTTTGTTTCGAAATATGTTCAAGTGATATCAGTACAAATTGTTTCTATGTGGACTGTTGTGAGTCGATCAGTAGTCCATATTTGACCATTCTGAATTGGGACTGGGAAATCACATGGATCATTATGAGTTCTTATTCATTCATGTATTGTTCACGTGGAAGAGGCCGATCAGACTGAGAATCGTTCAATTCGTGTTGGGATGCGAGTAAGCAGTCGGTCAATATGCACTTCTCCTTCTTCCGAACAAGTGAGTGAGATCAAACACGTGTACACAGTGCTCATATACTGTTCATTGGTCAGTTGAGTGTTCATCTCCTATATTGAATCATTGATGCGCAACAGATGAATAAACGAATGAATGAATGAAACAATGAATGGATGAATGAATGAATGAATGAATGAATGAATGAATGAATGAATGAATGAATGAATGAATGAATGAATGAATGAATGAATGAATTAATGAATGAATGAATGAATGAATGAATGAAACAATGAATGGATGAATGAATGAATGAATGAATGAATGAATGAATGAATGAATGTGCTATTGGTCAGGAAACTCATTTCTACGGGTCAGTTGGAATAGTTGGCAAGATAGCATATGTTTGATTTGTGTTTTGATGATCAAATCATTCGAGTGCTTAGATCTATCTAATGGGAACATATGAGAGACTAATTTCCAGTGCCCCCAATTCGTTTGTCATTTTCAATTAGAATGTCCAACCGGATCGTGTTTATTTGCGTTAGCAAATCAGTGTGGATAAAGAGACCAATTGGGAAATTGTTCGTCTACTGCACACAGTGAAGTAGCCAAATGTGAATTGCTTGTTGTAGCAAAGAGACGAATCAAATTGGGAAGAGAACAGAGCAGCATGATCCTCATTGTTCCACACCGTCCGTCAAGTGAATCATGCTAAAAACAAATGAACAAGACCAAACTGCAACATGATCAATAACACAGCTCACCGTCTTCCGTTTTCTGTGGATCTGCAATCAAGAAAGATGAGAAACGAACAATGTACACTGATTGATGTATCCAATCGAATGAGAACAAGCATATAATAATAAGCGTCGTATTTGAGTAGAGTAACGTTATATGATAAGAAGAGGGCGAATCAGTTCTCTCTTGTCGACTGGCACAGTTGAAGTGTGAAATCGTTTGTGCACAAATGCGAACAGTTGGGTGAATTGGACAATTCAATATGCTTTGTTTGGTTGTCTGTTCGTTTGTTGCATTGCGAAACAGGTGTGACTATTCCGCTTTGCTATTTTGTGTAGTTTGTTTCGAAATATGTTCAAGTGATATCAGTACAAATTGTTTCTATGTGGACTGTTGTGAGTCGATCAGTAGTCCATATTTGACCATTCTGAATTGGGACTGGGAAATCACATGGATCATTATGAGTTCTTATTCATTCATGTATTGTTCACGTGGAAGAGGCCGATCAGACTGAGAATCGTTCAATTCGTGTTGGGATGCAAGTAAGCAGTCGGTCAATATGCACTTCTCCTTATTCCGAACAAGTGAGTGAGATCAAACACGTGTACACAGTGCTCATATACTGTTCATTGGTCAGTTGAGTGTTCATCTCCTATATTGAAACATTTGATGCGCAACAGATGAATAAACGAATGAATGAATGAAACAATGAATGGATGAATGAATGAATGAATGAATGAATGAATGAATGAATGAATGAATGAATGAATGAATGAATGAATGAATGAATGAATGAATGAATGAATTAATGAATGAATGAATGAATGAATGAAACAATGAATGGATGAATGAATGAATGAATGAATGAATGAATGAATGAATGAATGTGCTATTGGTCAGGAAACTCATTTCTACGGGTCAGTTGGAATAGTTGGCAAGATAGCATATGTTTGATTTGTGTTTTGATGATCAAATCATTCGAGTGCTTAGATCTATCTAATGGGAACATATGAGAGACTAATTTCCAGTGCCCCCAATTCGTTTGTCATTTTCAATTAGAATGTCCAACCGGATCGTGTTTATTTGCGTTAGCAAATCAGTGTGGATAAAGAGACCAATTGGGAAATTGTTCGTCTAGTGCACACAGTGAAGTAGCCAAATGTGAATTGCTTGTTGTAGCAAAGAGACGAATCAAATTGGGAAGAGAACAGAGCAGCATGATCCTCATTGTTCCACACCGTCCGTCAAGTGAATCATGCTAAAAACAAATGAACAAGACCAAACTGCAACATGATCAATAACACAGCTCACCGTCTTCCGTTTTCTGTGGATCTGCAATCAAGAAAGATGAGAAACGAACAATGTACACTGATTGATGTATCCAATCGAATGAGAACAAGCATATAATAATAAGCGTCGTATTTGAGTAGAGTAACGTTATATGATAAAAAGAGGGCGAATCAGTTCTCTCTTGTCGACTGGCACAGTTGAAGTGTGAAATCGTTTGTGCACAAATGCGAACAGTTGGGTGAATTGGACAATTCAATATGCTTTGTTTGGTTGTCTGTTCGTTTGTTGCATTGCGAAACAGGTGTGACTATTCCGCTTTGCTATTTTGTGTAGTTTGTTTCGAAATATGTTCAAGTGATATCAGTACAAATTGTTTCTATGTGGACTGTTGTGAGTCGATCAGTAGTCCATATTTGACCATTCTGAATTGGGACTGGGAAATCACATGGATCATTATGAGTTCTTATTCATTCATGTATTGTTCACGTGGAAGAGGCCGATCAGACTGAGAATCGTTCAATTCGTGTTGGGATGCGAGTAAGCAGTCGGTCAATATGCACTTCTCCTTATTCCGAACAAGTGAGTGAGATCAAACACGTGTACACAGTGCTCATATACTGTTCATTGGTCAGTTGAGTGTTCATCTCCTATATTGAATCATTGATGCGCAACAGATGAATAAACGAATGAATGAATGAAACAATGAATGGATGAATGAATGAATGAATGAATGAATGAATGAATGAATGAATGAATGAATGAATGTGCTATTGGTCAGGAAACTCATTTCTACGGGTCAGTTGGAATAGTTGGCAAGATAGCATATGTTTGATTTGTGTTTTGATGATCAAATCATTCGAGTGCTTAGATCTATCTAATGGGAACATATGAGAGACTAATTTCCAGTGCCCCCAATTCGTTTGTCATTTTCAATTAGAATGTCCAACCGGATCGTGTTTATTTGCGTTAGCAAATCAGTGTGGATAAAGAGACCAATTGGGAAATTGTTCGTCTACTGCACACAGTGAAGTAGCCAAATGTGAATTGCTTGTTGTAGCAAAGAGACGAATCAAATTGGGAAGAGAACAGAGCAGCATGATCCTCATTGTTCCACACCGTCCGTCAAGTGAATCATGCTAAAAACAAATGAACAAGACCAAACTGCAACATGATCAATAACACAGCTCACCGTCTTCCGTTTTCTGTGGATCTGCAATCAAGAAAGATGAGAAACGAACAATGTACACTGATTGATGTATCCAATCGAATGAGAACAAGCATATAATAATAAGCGTCGTATTTGAGTAGAGTAACGTTATATGATAAGAAGAGGGCGAATCAGTTCTCTCTTGTCGACTGGCACAGTTGAAGTGTGAAATCGTTTGTGCACAAATGCGAACAGTTGGGTGAATTGGACAATTCAATATGCTTTGTTTGGTTGTCTGTTCGTTTGTTGCATTGCGAAACAGGTGTGACTATTCCGCTTTGCTATTTTGTGTAGTTTGTTTCGAAATATGTTCAAGTTATATCAGTACAAATTGTTTCTATGTGGACTGTTGTGAGTCGATCAGTAGTCCATATTTGACCATTCTGAATTGGGACTGGGAAATCACATGGATCATTATGAGTTCTTATTCATTCATGTATTGTTCACGTGGAAGAGGCCGATCAGACTGAGAATCGTTCAATTCGTGTTGGGATGCGAGTAAGCAGTCGGTCAATATGCACTTCTCCTTATTCCGAACAAGTGAGTGAGATCAAACACGTGTACACAGTGCTCATATACTGTTCATTGGTCAGTTGAGTGTTCATCTCCTATATTGAATCATTGATGCGCAACAGATGAATAAACGAATGAATGAATGAAACAATGAATGGATGAATGAATGAATGAATGAATGAATGAATGAATGAATGAATGAATGAATGAATGAATGTGCTATTGGTCAGGAAACTCATTTCTACGGGTCAGTTGGAATAGTTGGCAAGATAGCATATGTTTGATTTGTGTTTTGATGATCAAATCATTCGAGTGCTTAGATCTATCTAATGGGAACATATGAGAGACTAATTTCCAGTGCCCCCAATTCGTTTGTCATTTTCAATTAGAATGTCCAACCGGATCGTGTTTATTTGCGTTAGCAAATCAGTGTGGATAAAGAGACCAATTGGGAAATTGTTCGTCTACTGCACACAGTGAAGTAGCCAAATGTGAATTGCTTGTTGTAGCAAAGAGACGAATCAAATTGGGAAGAGAACAGAGCAGCATGATCCTCATTGTTCCACACCGTCCGTCAAGTGAATCATGCTAAAAACAAATGAACAAGACCAAACTGCAACATGATCAATAACACAGCTCACCGTCTTCCGTTTTCTGTGGATCTGCAATCAAGAAAGATGAGAAACGAACAATGTACACTGATTGATGTATCCAATCGAATGAGAACAAGCATATAATAATAAGCGTCGTATTTGAGTAGAGTAACGTTATATGATAAGAAGAGGGCGAATCAGTTCTCTCTTGTCGACTGGCACAGTTGAAGTGTGAAATCGTTTGTGCACAAATGCGAACAGTTGGGTGAATTGGACAATTCAATATGCTTTGTTTGGTTGTCTGTTCGTTTGTTGCATTGCGAAACAGGTGTGACTATTCCGCTTTGCTATTTTGTGTAGTTTGTTTCGAAATATGTTCAAGTGATATCAGTACAAATTGTTTCTATGTGGACTGTTGTGAGTCGATCAGTAGTCCATATTTGACCATTCTGAATTGGGACTGGGAAATCACATGGATCATTATGAGTTCTTATTCATTCATGTATTGTTCACGTGGAAGAGGCCGATCAGACTGAGAATTGTTCAATTCGTGTTGGGATGCGAGTAAGCAGTCGGTCAATATGCACTTCTCCTTATTCCGAACAAGTGAGTGAGATCAAACACGTGTACACAGTGCTCATATACTGTTCATTGGTCAGTTGAGTGTTCATCTCCTATATTGAATCATTGATGCGCAACAGATGAATAAACGAATGAATGAATGAAACAATGAATGGATGAATGAATGAATGAATGAATGAATGAATGAATGAATGAATGAATGAATGAATGAATGTGCTATTGGTCAGGAAACTCATTTCTACGGGTCAGTTGGAATAGTTGGCAAGATAGCATATGTTTGATTTGTGTTTTGATGATCAAATCATTCGAGTGCTTAGATCTATCTAATGGGAACATATGAGAGACTAATTTCCAGTGCCCCCAATTCGTTTGTCATTTTCAATTAGAATGTCCAACCGGATCGTGTTTATTTGCGTTAGCAAATCAGTGTGGATAAAGAGACCAATTGGGAAATTGTTCGTCTAGTGCACACAGTGAAGTAGCCAAATGTGAATTGCTTGTTGTAGCAAAGAGACGAATCAAATTGGGAAGAGAACAGAGCAGCATGATCCTCATTGTTCCACACCGTCCGTCAAGTGAATCATGCTAAAAACAAATGAACAAGACCAAACTGCAACATGATCAATAACACAGCTCACCGTCTTCCGTTTTCTGTGGATCTGCAATCAAGAAAGATGAGAAACGAACAATGTACACTGATTGATGTATCCAATCGAATGAGAACAAGCATATAATAATAAGCGTCGTATTTGAGTAGAGTAACGTTATATGATAAGAAGAGGGCGAATCAGTTCTCTCTTGTCGACTGGCACAGTTGAAGTGTGAAATCGTTTGTGCACAAATGCGAACAGTTGGGTGAATTGGACAATTCAATATGCTTTGTTTGGTTGTCTGTTCGTTTGTTGCATTGCGAAACAGGTGTGACTATTCCGCTTTGCTATTTTGTGTAGTTTGTTTCGAAATATGTTCAAGTGATATCAGTACAAATTGTTTCTATGTGGACTGTTGTGAGTCGATCAGTAGTCCATATTTGACCATTCTGAATTGGGACTGGGAAATCACATGGATCATTATGAGTTCTTATTCATTCATGTATTGTTCACGTGGAAGAGGCCGATCAGACTGAGAATTGTTCAATTCGTGTTGGGATGCGAGTAAGCAGTCGGTCAATATGCACTTCTCCTTATTCCGAACAAGTGAGTGAGATCAAACACGTGTACACAGTGCTCATATACTGTTCATTGGTCAGTTGAGTGTTCATCTCCTATATTGAATCATTGATGCGCAACAGATGAATAAACGAATGAATGAATGAAACAATGAATGGATGAATGAATGAATGAATGAATGAATGAATGAATGAATGAATGAATGAATGAATGAATGTGCTATTGGTCAGGAAACTCATTTCTACGGGTCAGTTGGAATAGTTGGCAAGATAGCATATGTTTGATTTGTGTTTTGATGATCAAATCATTCGAGTGCTTAGATCTATCTAATGGGAACATATGAGAGACTAATTTCCAGTGCCCCCAATTCGTTTGTCATTTTCAATTAGAATGTCCAACCGGATCGTGTTTATTTGCGTTAGCAAATCAGTGTGGATAAAGAGACCAATTGGGAAATTGTTCGTCTACTGCACACAGTGAAGTAGCCAAATGTGAATTGCTTGTTGTAGCAAAGAGACGAATCAAATTGGGAAGAGAACAGAGCAGCATGATCCTCATTGTTCCACACCGTCCGTCAAGTGAATCATGCTAAAAACAAATGAACAAGACCAAACTGCAACATGATCAATAACACAGCTCACCGTCTTCCGTTTTCTGTGGATCTGCAATCAAGAAAGATGAGAAACGAACAATGTACACTGATTGATGTATCCAATCGAATGAGAACAAGCATATAATAATAAGCGTCGTATTTGAGTAGAGTAACGTTATATGATAAGAAGAGGGCGAATCAGTTCTCTCTTGTCGACTGGCACAGTTGAAGTGTGAAATCGTTTGTGCACAAATGCGAACAGTTGGGTGAATTGGACAATTCAATATGCTTTGTTTGGTTGTCTGTTCGTTTGTTGCATTGCGAAACAGGTGTGACTATTCCGCTTTGCTATTTTGTGTAGTTTGTTTCGAAATATGTTCAAGTGATATCAGTACAAATTGTTTCTATGTGGACTGTTGTGAGTCGATCAGTAGTCCATATTTGACCATTCTGAATTGGGACTGGGAAATCACATGGATCATTATGAGTTCTTATTCATTCATGTATTGTTCACGTGGAAGAGGCCGATCAGACTGAGAATTGTTCAATTCGTGTTGGGATGCGAGTAAGCAGTCGGTCAATATGCACTTCTCCTTATTCCGAACAAGTGAGTGAGATCAAACACGTGTACACAGTGCTCATATACTGTTCATTGGTCAGTTGAGTGTTCATCTCCTATATTGAATCATTGATGCGCAACAGATGAATAAACGAATGAATGAATGAAACAATGAATGGATGAATGAATGAATGAATGAATGAATGAATGAATGAATGAATGAATGAATGAATGAATGAATGAATGAATGAATGAATGTGCTATTGGTCAGGAAACTCATTTCTACGGGTCAGTTGGAATAGTTGGCAAGATAGCATATGTTTGATTTGTGTTTTGATGATCAAATCATTCGAGTGCTTAGATCTATCTAATGGGAACATATGAGAGACTTATTTCCAGTGCCCCCAATTCGTTTGTCATTTTCAATTAGAATGTCCAACCGGATCGTGTTTATTTGCGTTAGCAAATCAGTGTGGATAAAGAGACCAATTGGGAAATTGTTCGTCTAGTGCACACAGTGAAGTAGCCAAATGTGAATTGCTTGTTGTAGCAAAGAGACGAATCAAATTGGGAAGAGAACAGAGAAGCATGATCCTCATTGTTCCACACCGTCCGTCAAGTGAATCATGCTAAAAACAAATGAACAAGACCAAACTGCAACATGATCAATAACACAGCTCACCGTCTTCCGTTTTCTGTGGATCTGCAATCAAGACAGATGAGAAACGAACAATGTACACTGATTGATGTATCCAATCGAATGAGAACAAGCATATAATAATAAGCGTCGTATTTGAGTAGATTAACGTTATATGATAAGAAGAGGGCGAATCAGTTCTCTCTTGTCGACTGGCACAGTTGAAGTGTGAAATCGTTTGTGCACAAATGCGAACAGTTGGGTGAATTGGACAATTCAATATGCTTTGTTTGGTTGTCTGTTCGTTTGTTGCATTGCGAAACAGGTGTGACTATTCCGCTTTGCTATTTTGTGTAGTTTGTTTCGAAATATGTTCAAGTGATATCAGTACAAATTGTTTCTATGTGGACTGTTGTGAGTCGATCAGTAGTCCATATTTGACCATTCTGAATTGGGACTGGGAAATCACATGGATCATTATGAGTTCTTATTCATTCATGTATTGTTCACGTGGAAGAGGCCGATCAGACTGAGAATTGTTCAATTCGTGTTGGGATGCGAGTAAGCAGTCGGTCAATATGCACTTCTCCTTATTCCGAACAAGTGAGTGAGATCAAACACGTGTACACAGTGCTCATATACTGTTCATTGGTCAGTTGAGTGTTCATCTCCTATATTGAATCATTGATGCGCAACAGATGAATAAACGAATGAATGAATGAAACAATGAATGGATGAATGAATGAATGAATGAATGAATGAATGAATGAATGAATGAATGAATGAATGAATGAATGAATGAATGAATGTGCTATTGGTCAGGAAACTCATTTCTACGGGTCAGTTGGAATAGTTGGCAAGATAGCATATGTTTGATTTGTGTTTTGATGATCAAATCATTCGAGTGCTTAGATCTATCTAATGGGAACATATGAGAGACTAATTTCCAGTGCCCCCAATTCGTTTGTCATTTTCAATTAGAATGTCCAACCGGATCGTGTTTATTTGCGTTAGCAAATCAGTGTGGATAAAGAGACCAATTGGGAAATTGTTCGTCTACTGCACACAGTGAAGTAGCCAAATGTGAATTGCTTGTTGTAGCAAAGAGACGAATCAAATTGGGAAGAGAACAGAGCAGCATGATCCTCATTGTTCCACACCGTCCGTCAAGTGAATCATGCTAAAAACAAATGAACAAGACCAAACTGCAACATGATCAATAACACAGCTCACCGTCTTCCGTTTTCTGTGGATCTGCAATCAAGACAGATGAGAAACGAACAATGTACACTGATTGATGTATCCAATCGAATGAGAACAAGCATATAATAATAAGCGTCGTATTTGAGTAGAGTAACGTTATATGATAAGAAGAGGGCGAATCAGTTCTCTCTTGTCGACTGGCACAGTTGAAGTGTGAAATCGTTTGTGCACAAATGCGAACAGTTGGGTGAATTGGACAATTCAATATGCTTTGTTTGGTTGTCTGTTCGTTTGTTGCATTGCGAAACAGGTGTGACTATTCCGCTT